AATATTCCTTCAGTAGGGGTTTAGCAGGGATGTGGACTCTGTGTAATGATGGCAATCACAGTAGAGGTGCAGGAACCTGGAAAACTCATGTGTTAGAGCGAGTGTGTACAACATCAAACCACCTTCGGGCCAGATGCTGGCCTGGGAAGGTCTCAGCACCTCCAATGGTTGGGCTCTGGGGCCATGCGAAGCAAAGCTGGTGAGGACTGCCTACCGCTTTGCCCTCCTTATGGAGGTATTTCCACCAACAAAAATATATTTTCTTAGCAAGAGCTACACCTATTTATGAAATCCGTAGCGATTAGGCTAAAGATCTCTTCATTCTCTCAGCAGATGTTGCATAAAGATGAACGTGCTTCCCCACACCGGGCACTTCACTTTTTATCTATAAATAAAACAGCACCTAGTTAACAATTTTTCTTTGTTCCTCACTTTCATGGACTTTAAAGTAAGATGAAAATATCTCTTTTTATGCATAGGATTTCTCAGTGGTGTAAAAACTCTGCACTGTAAAAATAGGCACAAAGCTTTTAAAACAAGCTGAATTACGGAAAATTACTGGATAGCCTATTAAGCACAACATTTTCACAACACAGTAAAATGAGCTGTACTATAACTAACACACCGTTGATCCCTCTATAATTTAGTCTTTATCAGCCTGCTTCTTTCATTATTAAGAAATGCAGACTAGATATTGAGTTTATAGTTGTAAAACCGGCATAGTTTCCCTTCAAGAGGGCTTTTGTATCTGTTGGGTGAGAAAATAATATTTTCAACCTAATCCTACTCACTGCAGACCTTCTTCAGGACGTGATCCTCAGAAAGGTGAAATGTTTCCAACTTCTGTCACTGCAGTAAGGGCAAGCAGTGCTCAGCGGTCACCAGAAGGAAGCCAAATGGCCTACAGGCCTCCTTGATTAGCCTGCACTTCTTTTTTTTTATATTATTTTATTATGCGTTTGGAATATTATCTTCTAGGTTTTCAGAATAGCTGTGTAAACTGAAGTTTAAAAACAATAACTAGTGGTTATTGAGACGTATTTCTGAAGACTAATAAAACACGGGAGCTAAGTCTACAGATGAGCCCTGAATGCAAATGAGTGGAAGATGAGAACAAATGTCAGTGAATAAAAAAGTGCAGTGGAATGAAAGCTGCTCAGCAAGCAGCAAAAGCTGCCCATTTCTGAGCGCTGGGGGAGGCAGGTGGGTCTCCTCCAGCAGGTGGTGCCCCCCATCAGGTGCTCTTGGAGCACCCTGTCCCCCCCAATTTCTGCTGCTGGCAGGGCACAGCCAGAGCAGGGTGGGATGCTGTGGTGGTGGGAAGCTCCCAGGGGCTCCCACATGTCTGAGAGATGCTGAAGGCATGCGGGAGGCAGGTTTGGGCACCGGAGGCGCTGTCCTTTCATCCACGTGCTCCTGCCTCCCACCCCACAAACACCTTCCTGCACACCTTGCGGCATCACTCAGTTTCACTCAATATCTACCCCAATTTCACGGCACTGGCGGCAGGTAAAAATGAGCTTCCTGAATGCAGCACTGCTACCGATCGCATCAATGCCCAGGAAGAATTTGTTTTGTGCTTTCCCTGTGTGTCACCTCAACAAATCCGATGCGGTGGCTTGAGCACCAGCTACGAAAGGGACTCACTCCTTTTGCCATCCTTGGCTTGCCACTGTTTTGCAGTCCTTGGGCAAACTGCAGCCTGCCTGCGACTTGCAGTTTTTTGACTTACAAACGGGGATGAAATGCCTGCCTGCCTTGTGGTGTTATGCAGCTCTAGGAGGAATTGTAAATACTTTGAGACTGTTGGATGAAAGGAGTAAAAACACAATTAGCATAGCTAAAGCAAAGCACATAAATGTTTTTCTTATGGGGAATGCTTCCCATTTCACATAAATTTTATATGCAAATTAACCCAGGGTTACTCTAGCCACATGAAAAAAATCAGACCTCATTAAATGTTCCTTTTACATTTAACGCTGAGATGTGATGGGTGATGTTTCTGAAGATTTCAGCAAGGCTGTAAGAAGTGAACTTGGGAGAGGAGAACATGAAATAAAAGCCTTCCCTTTGCACGGGACCCCATTACGGTGAAATCGCATTAAAGAGCAGCACGTGCTGGTGCTAACTTCCCCTCTCAGGGGCAAATAATTTTGGAGATATCAAAACCTGGCTGCAGTGATCTGGCTGACGGTAGCTGTGTAAAATTCACCACGACGTCGTTCCGGAGGCGAACCTTCCCAGAAGCAGCGCAGCCACCGGCGGGATGAAGATGAAGAGAAACCTGACCAGAAATACATCTTAAGTAAACAAAAGCTTTTGTGGTGCCACTGAAAGGCCCATAAAAGTAAACTACAACATAGGAAAAGCCTTTTAAACCGCCAAAACAGCGAGGCAGAGGTCAGGGAGCCCGGCAGGTCAGCGGAGCCCTTCTTGCCGCTTTGGGGTCGCCCTCCCCTCGGGCCGGCCGGCCAGCCCGCCGCAGCGGCCCCGCACAAACGCCCGGGCTGCCCTTCTGCCTCGACAAAACTTTGGTTTGCTGATTGGGCCCGAAACAAAAGAAAGACAGCGGGACACGATTTATAAGGGGGCAGGGTAGGCTGACATGCTATTGTGCTCCCGAGGTATCCACAAGCTGTTAATTCCATTTTAACATTGTTAATAAGACTGTTAACACATCTGACTTTGTTTCCAGACTTTGAAAACATCAACAAACTATTAAAAAAAAACAAAAAAAAAAACACAACAAGAACACAAAACCACAGCCACACGGCAGAAGCAAAACACGATCGAGTCGAACGGCATCCAACACCTTCGCGCTACGCCTCTGCCTGCTCGGAGCTGGCACCCAGGAGAGGGACGGACAGAGCGGCTGACCGACGGACGGACGGACGCCTGCTGAATTCCTCACACGGCACTGTCTGGAGAATGACATTTTCCAGGTTCAACCTGAAAGTGCTCGTTTCCAGCCCTGCCCGCCGCTTTTAGGAGGAAGCGAAGTGCAGCCGCCCCCCCGCCGCACACCTCTCCCTCTCGCCCGCTCGCCCCTGTGCACACGCACCGGCAAATGTGCAGATTTAATCAGTGAGGAATGTTTTAAATGAATAATTGGGTCTGACAGATTTATTGCAGTTAATTTCGCAATAGAATGGAAAAATGTTTGGATCCCAGCCTTTAAAGTATTAGGAAAACAATTAATCCATCACATAACGGAAATTCCTGTATTACACCCTCACGTCCAATTAAATAATGTCAAGTAATTTTACATTGTAAAATACTGAAAATTGAAGCTCAAAACGTTGGGGGAATATGCTTTAATTTTTCAGGAACCTCTAAAAAAATTACATCAAATTAAAATCAGATGCTTTGAGAAAAGCTCTTTTGCCTTGTTTTGTGTTAAGGAGGAGGGTTAGTAGAAAAAAAATTAAAAAAAAAAAGCAATGACAAAAACTAGCTTCACTCCAAAACCTCGAATTCCCTTCTTCTCTCCAGCCTTCACATCCCGACCATCGTCTTAGCAAGGCTATCCCAAAGAGAATCAAAAGTGCTACGATGAAGTGTGCAACTTCAGGAAATATTTCACGCTAGATAGCAAGTCCGTGTATTTTTCACCAGGCAGAGGCTCTCATCCCGGAGTACTTACTCAGGCACAATTGTCAGAGGCTTCAAGCCGTGTTTTGCTTGAATAACGTCCTGTAGGATCAAGTCCACAGTTTATGAACAAATGACAGCAAACTTCTGAGACTGAAAGTAATCACGATTCGTTTGTCTTTGTTTACAGCCAAAAGCTGCTAATGCTGTAAAATTGCTTAATGTCACACTCCATCTCCTTTTTATTAAAGGTAAGTTAAGAAAGCCTGCAAGTCAAATAACTTTTCCAGAATAACAAAAACACCAACTTACAAATGTACTGCCTTGCCCCTGAAATTTGAGACTTGGCAAATTCATCCAGTTCAGATGTGGGACAAAAGATTCCCGAAGCGTGTTACAGTACAGCCCCGCGCACGCTACCAAATATTTCTGCTCTTTCTAAAACAGCGCGGGTTGGGACTACAGTCTGCAGTTTAATGACCGAACTGAAAGCAGTGGCGAAATTTTACCATTGCAAAGAGTTAAGAGGAGCACACTCAGCTATTTTTGCTGCTGACAGTCCTGCAGGAGGGAAGGTGGAGAGTTCAGAGACAAAAAGGGATCTGAGCACGTGTCCACGCAGCAAAGAAGTTACAGGTTCCAAAAAAGGAGTAAATACAAAACAGTGCGAAACATCACCGTGGCAATGGCAAAAACCACAAACTTAAACCTCAGGTTGTGTGGAAGGGCAATAAATATTGCAGTGCCTTACTCACACCTTCATTATAGCACCATCGTCAGCACTGGACATACAAGAACGGGGACTGCTGTACTAATTGCAGGCAGTGCATGAGAAAAGTGGAATATGTGGCTAGCACTGCTCAGTTTGTTTTTCCAACTACAACACCGTGCTTATTTTGCTGCTTTCTTACAATCTTACGCTCTGGATACACACATCACAACCCAACTATTTCTGTTGCCATAACAACATCATAAATTTGGTCTTCGATGTCCTTTTTTAATAAAATCATTTTGGAACTGCGGCGCTTTCGAAGCTGGTACAGTTCCTCCATTTAGGCAGCTCACACCTTTCACAAGGACCCGATTTGTTTCTGTTTCCCTAAAAATCTCACAATTTGAAAACGGCGTGTCCCCCCCCCCCCATGCTCCTTCTTGGCATTGGAAATAGGCCTGTTGCTATAAACAGCCTTTCCTGAGGATTTTGGAGAGGATTTTAAAGAAACAGGCAACCTAAAGCAGCCAGCGGACCACCTCCTATGGCTTGCGAAAAGGAGCAAAGCGCTGTGCGTGCAGCCCCCTGTGTGAAGGACGGCAAAGTTTGCTCCACATATTCACTTGCAAAGCATCTGGGAGCAGCCGGCGTGCTTGAGGATGTCCCAAATTAAACACAACCAAAAACTAGATGCTACCTAGCTGTCTGGAGAGCCTCGTCCCTTATGAGCGGCTCGTGCAGCAATACGCGGTGGCTGCACATCGGCATCTCTGCTATTGCTGTTTCCAGTGTGCTTTCTCAGATCATCTCACCATCGCTGGAAAAAAAAAAAAAAAAAAAAAAAAAAAAAAAAAAAGCAAAATCTGGCTCTTTACCATTAAATAAATTGGATTCGCACCACAAACAGCAAAACAATGGACAACAGGATGTGACTAACGAATGCCGAGGGAAGAGTCAAGCCGCACTCCCTTTGCATATGCAGTGAAACAGAAGTCATTGGGTGTTTTTTTTTGTTGTTGTTGTTGTTTTTTTTCCTATTTAACATATCTGTGCATTTCAATAAGTTCAGAGAAACAATGAGTGGCTTTCAAAAGTTGCAAATTACTGCGAATACATCGCAAAAGGACAAAACGGGGACGGACAGCCCATAACATTGGAAGATGTTGAAAAGTATTTATCTTTTTTTTTTCTTAAGGAAAAGATCGGTGAGAAATCACGACCCTAGGGGGCAAATGGTCCTGAGTGGGGAAGGCACCGAGCTGGTGACCCACTCAGGAAACTTCTCAAGAGAAGTGGTTGAAGTGTGTGTTTTTGGAGTGTGTTTTTAAAGTGTGTTTTTAAAGAGAATAAATCCACTCATAGCCAGGGACGTAATCCTGCCGCTGATGTTCACTGATGATACTCGGCCAAACGCCATCCAGCCAAACGTAAATATCTATTTCTTCACGGCGGACAGCACGAAGACACCTACGTGCATACAATGACAGTGAAAACGGGGAAAAGAAGAAGAAAAAATAAAACACAAATCCTGCTTTTTCCCCTTTTACCGGCGGCATTTCGATCGCGAGGGGATCGCCGCCCTCGCCCCACGGCGCCAGTCCGGGGGCTTCTCCTCCCGCCGCGTGGAAAAAAACCACAACACAACCAACCCAAAGCCACCGAACCCAACCCAGAGGAACCCAAACCCACCCCAAATAAACCCGCTGTCCCCTCCCCGCGGCGAGGAGCCCCCGCAGCCCGCTCCCGAGCGCGACGCCCCCAGGCCCCGCCGAGCCCAGCGGCGGGCGGCAGCGACACCCGCCGGCGGGCAGGGACGGGCAGGGACACCAGGGACACGGGCAGGGACAGGCAGGGGGACTGGCAGGAAGGGTTTTGGGGCCAACAGAGGCTTTGGGCCCGTCAGGGTGCGGGATGGGGCCTGTGGGGAGGCCGTGGCTCCCCTCAGGCTCTGGGTCTCATCCGTTGCCCCCGTTCCCCGCTGGCGGTGGCTGCCGTGAGGCGACGTCCCGCGTGAGGGAGGGCTGCAAGATGCTGTCCCTCCGGACCGGGGCTGTTATTAATATTTCAACGCTCAGTGTTTTTTTTTTTTTTCCTTCCTTTTTTTTTTTTTGTCAGCCCGCTAATGAAGCTGTTGCTGCTGCTGGGGAAACGAGGAGGCGATGCGCGGCGAGGGAGGTGCGCGCACCGATAACTCCCTTCCCAATTTGTTTTCCCCCGAAGAAAACAGGAAAATATTCCTGGCGGAGGAATTGGGGAGCAGCTTTCCCCGTCCGTGCCCTCATCCCATGGGTTCCTGAGGCTGCCCAGCCCCGGGCCAGCCCGCAGCACCTTCTAGCACCTTCTGTCAGAGGATTTCAAAGGGCTGCACGAGCTCTAATTAATTACCCGTGCTCCACACGCGTGCAAACGGAGATGCGGGGATCCATTTTACAGATGGAGACCTGCTTGTACAAGGGGGCCAGGCAAGACACCCCCACCGGTGGGTGAGCCAGGAATTAAAAAATATTAATTTTCTGACTCTGGGTTCCCATGCTTTAAATATAAAACCCATCGATCACTTCCCCGTTCCATCACACCGACAGAGGCGGGCTGATCATGAAATTAATTCCCTATCGCCTCACATTCAGCCCAGAGACACGTACAGCCACACAAAGGCACGTAACACAGTGCCCTCCTCGCATTCACGTGCATACCTGTTGGTACGGTCTCCTATCCCCAGATGCTTTACAGAGTCAAAACAAGACAAAGACAGAATTAAAAAACAGTAGAGAGGGAAACTAATTTGAAAAATATGGGCAGGCTCAGAGCTGCTCGACCGAGCCTTTGAACAGATGAAGAGCCAGTTTGGTAGACAGAAAGAAGAGGGATGTCCCTGGAGTTAGGAACTACAAAGGAGGAGGCTCCGGCATCAATGCAGGCCAGAGTGCAGGAGGCAGAGACGGGAGACAAATATTTATGTGAGAGCAGGGATCACGGCGATGGATGGGGACCAGATTTTCCAGGGCAACTGAAGATACAGACAGGCACCTGGCAGGATTTTCAAGAGCAAGATAGGTACCTAAATCCCTCCAATTTCAGTGGATGCTGGGATGTCTAACCTGCTTATGCTCTTTTGAAAATCCAATTAAGTGCCAGCTGCATGTTTAGGAACCTAAACACATTTGAAAATTTATTGTAAGGCTCCTAGAACAAATAAATTTGAAGAGCAAAGCACTGTCATGCCAATGTCAGGAATTACAAAACAGAGTGCGGTTCCTTCCCTGCCCAAAAAGGAGTTGGTTACCCAGTGACGTTCAGAGAAACAATTTTGCATTTGCCTTCTGAGGTTTGCACATTGAGCCCTCCTTGTTTCCATCTCCTCTCCTCTTCTTTCGTAATAAACCCGTTCATGTAAATAGGATGCCCCAGCAGGACTCCTGACCCACCTGAGCGAGTCGCCGTGCTGCCGGCGGACGGGTAGGTGCTGGAGCACGACACGAGCCAGCGGAGCTGTCTGGAGACGCTGCTGGGACGGCGATGGATGTGTGGCTGCGTACGCTGGGAGGCAGGGGACAGCAGGCAGGCACCTGGGAGCCGGTCTGCCATCCTGCTCAGGTGCTAAGCGATGTGGCCAGAGGCACCAGACAGTGGCCTCTTGCTTTCAGGCGGTGCTTTGGGACAACTTGGGAAAGACAGCGTCTTGTTATGAAATAGCTGTGTATTACACACACACCATGAAGAGTTACATTAGAGAGCACTAATGACAGGGATTATTTTTTCCCTGAATTGTCTGTTTTTTAAGGTTATTCTGCCAGCGTAGATTTGCCTGTACATTTTGATGCTTTCATTCATGTTTTTTAGAAAACTGTTAAAATAGGACTGCTGACGGAGTGCCAGACTTTCCCAGGAGTTCACTTTAAATATGTAGGTAGCAGATGTCTCTTGATCACTGATGAACTTTAAAGCCCACAGAATAAAATCTCAACAAACAACAGTGTAAAGAGAGCAAGCTTCTGAAAGGCTCTTCAGAAAATAGTATTTCTAAAGAATTTTAACGCTAACAGCTAAACTGACACAGCAAAACCATTGTGTTTCGCCAGTTTTGTTTTGCTATATACAGCTGTGTTTTCACAGATGCAAAACCATGTGTCTTCAGCAAAAGGTCTACTCTTCCCTTCAGATGTGAATGAAGATCAAAGGTTCAAACACAGAAATACAAGATCCTTTTCCCTTTGGAACATGTTTTTATTTTTTTCAGTGGCTCTAAACCAGAATTTCCATCTGTTGTCCTTATGCAACGTACAGGTTAACCTTAGCAGTAGGGTCTGCGATGCCGTTATCTCAACTGAGAAGTGCGGAGATGAATCACCCTTGCATGTATGCTCTGAACATCTCACCAAGAAGCAAAAGCGGAGCTGCATCAGACAACAAGCCGTCATTTCACGGAGACGAGGGCTGAAACAGACTCGTTTCTTCCTTCCTTTACAGCACAAAACACACGTTTCCTGAATGGTATGTGGCCACTGCCACGCTGCAAATTCTCCACTCCCATTCTCTGCTGTAACAAACTGGTGTAATTCCTTTGGAGTAAATGGCTCTGGTTCAATTTACAGCATGCTTAGGCCGGCAGCTTTTAGACAGCGTTGTTTTACATTTTGTCTCCCTGTTTCTCTCCTCATCAGGCAGACAGCAGACAGTCCGTGCATTCATGTTTTCACAGCTGGCTGCAAAAGTGCAGGTATGGTGGTGGAGGCACCGAAGCTGGTCACTGCTAGTTATACAACCGCGATCTGTGGGTGACTCGCCCGTGTTTCGAGGCTCTTTAAAAGCGAAGTAACCGAGGTGGCTATACCAAATGCCACCCGCCTCGTGTGCCTGGCAGAAGACCCACCGTGCCCGAGAGGGCCAAAGCAGGGGCAGGGCGAGGAGTTGGGCAGGACGCCGACCACACAGAGGGTCAGGAGCCCGGTAGGGCCCGCCGCACAGGCCGGGCCGGGTTGACTAGGCGGCCGGGGGGCGGGTTGACCAGGCGGCCTGGGGCCGCGTTGACAGGGCCACCCCGGGCCCTGCCTGCTCCGCCGGGGCAGCGCTGCCACCTGGCGGCCGGCACGGAGCCGGGACCGCAGGGCAAGGGACCTGGCAAGGCGAGGCCTCGTCCTCCTGCAGGCCGCCCCGCATCCTCACGCGTTTGCTCCTTAGAGAAACAGCATAAGCGGGCAACACCAGCAATGGCACAGGGCACGGTTCAGCACCGTGTTCTCACACGACCTCTGCAAACCAGCAAGACGCAAGCCTTCGTTCTGCAGCTACAGAGTGTCGCCGTGACTTACTGCTGCTGCTCACAAGCAACCACAAAGAGCACTGCGAAGATGGCACTCACTGGAGCTGGTTGATTTTTTGTATTAAAGAGTGAATAAACAAACCATAGTCAAAGCCTTGACATTTCATTATTCCAGTCAAAATTGGAAGGCGGGGAATATGGCATAGCCTGGTCTACGGTTTTCATTTTACTGTCCCTATTTTTGCAAAAGCAAAAAGAAAGGAGGAAGAGAAAGTGAGGAATGGAAGCAAAACAAAATAAAACATTGTTCATTTGTCTTTAAACGAGAAATATCAAGTGTGAAAAAAGTATTGTTTCCCAAAACTCTGGATATTTGCCTTTACATCTTGCAACCAGCTCTATGTTAACCTGAGCAGAAGCTTAGTAGAGATGTAGCCCATCAAGCAGTGGAGGAATTTACTCTTCACAGAGAAGATAAAAATATAAAAAAAATAAAAGAACACAACACTTTTACTAAAATGATTAGGCATCTGTTGCCATTGACTGAGTACCAGTGT